GGTTTTCAGTTGAAATTGGAATTGTTAATTTACACAATAATAGGATTGCATTGACGATTTTTTCTTAACGCGGAAAAATCTCCAAACAATGTGCTAGCGATTGGTGATAAAATTTTTTGGAAATAATGAAATAGAGGGGATAACGTCTTTTTTTTCAGAGGTGATTTTCCAAAAATTTATTTTAAAAAAAGTACTAACTAGCAAATGTTTTTTATTAGCTCGCAATTTTCTTCAAAACTACTTCAATGAGGAAAAAAGTAAAAATTTGGAATATCTATACATGAGGGGCTAATTGATCGGATCTATCATTTGCGCTATCGTGGGACACATGGCGCCATCCATAATTAATATCGACTGCAAATAAAACGAATGCTATTTCTACTCTACCGACATTTTTTGACCGACTGCAAGACCCGTGCACAGATGTGGTTGTGTACAGTTGTTCCCTCACATTTTTCACAAATCTGTGGACAGCCGTGGATGTGTATAGGCCTTCCAGTAGAATCTTTCCCTTCATTTTCAAGAGTGGAAGACACGGATACAGGTGGGAATCACGTGTAGTGGGGGTACCCTGGGAAGGGAAAACTTCTGCTAGAACTATATTACAGTTGTGGAAGTACGAACGGCCCCCCCCCCATGGTTTTCTGGAACTAAAGTTTCTCAATCTAGAAAAGAGAATCGATTTTTCGAATCGATCCTCCCAGGATCGAGTCCGAATCGAAGCGAACCCAGAAGAATCGATCCACAAAAGACCGATCTTTCCGATTTTTTGACATAAAAAATGTTATTTTATTAAAATCGATAATTCGATTGAATTGGAATTTTTATTAATGATAACATTTTCAGCAGAATTTTGTGACTAAAAACGCTTATAGATTGATTCCGCTGGGAATTAATCGATCTGACCGATTAATCGACTCAAAAGAATCGATTGAAAAAGCGACAATCGGCCCTTATACATCGATCTCGTAAAGAATCGATTCTAGATCGAGAAACCCTATCTGGAACCTATCAAATCGGACGAGACAGTTCGTGCACCCGTGAATCGACAACAACATCGGAAAAAAACAACTGTCACGATTTCCTCGGGAACGATTTAATCCGCCGGCCTAAAATGCTCGCGAGTGTGTTTCCCTCGTGATTCGATTGATCAAGGTGATGGTAACGGGTGATAATGTCCGTGGAGAACGAGAGTTTACCGATATCTCCGTCCGAGAAATCATTCACCGGTAGTATGGTGTCTGATGACAATGAACAGGCCAGTGTGTCACGATCACCATCGAGTTACTCAATTCGTGAGGACAAGTGGCCCGATCTCGTTGTCTCCAGGCCGAGGAAACTGGATGCCTGGTGGTCGCCCAGACGTGAGTAGAATTGTTACTGGTTATGAGTTTCGGCGGGAGGTTTGAATGGGTTCGAAAGGGGGTTCGGGTTTTTTTAATTCATCAGCAAAGCTGTAAAACGATTCAAGTCGATTTTGACTGTTGACCAGTTTTCAATGAATATCTCGAAATCTGAGGCAAATGCGAAATTTTTATGATAAACTTTTTCTTAGCTAACTGCATTTGTTTCCAACCGCCTGAAGTAATATCAAAATTTCTCCTTCTCCAGGCCATATCGCAGTTCTCGGCTATTTTAACGTCCGCAAGGAATTAACACAAAAAATCCATTTACTTTTATTAACGTTTCGAGTGGTAAAAATTCACTCCTCATCAGGGCAATTACTTTATTTTCATCTACTTGAATAAACAAAGAACATACAAAACATTACCATAAATGTCTATTTCAATATTAGCCATCAGTGATTCTAAGTTAAGACATCTCATAAGATTCAAGGATCTATAGATGAATTTAATTCCTACTTATTTCAGAGACTCTCATTTACTCAAAAAATTTCTTTTTAAATGTAGGGACCAGCAAAACACCACAAAAAAACTCTATACCTTAAGCTATAAAGTTATAGCCATTATGAACATCAAATTAATCATCTGTTCCAACTATACTATTTGGTTTAAAAGTACTCCACCTGCTATGTCATTGATAATTAAAAAACAAGCCTTCTCCCCTACCCACTGTTTTACATAATTTTTAATTATGTCAATTTTAAATATTTATTCGTCAAATTCAACTAAACATGACAATCACGACACTAATAAATCACAATGGTCAGTCAGTATTATTACACTCAAGGCAAGTTTTCTATATTGCACATATCAGAATCTAAAATGGGCCCATCCTAATCAGCCGATCGATCACTAAAATTCAATCAGTCATCACTTTAAATTTTATCGAATCTAATTAATGGATCATACACCGTACCTAACGTTTTACTGTCATTAATAAAATTCACAGTCTTATCATTATGTTTCTTTATATGGAACATTTCTAGACTATCTAATTTATTTTTTCCTTCCACTGTGCCTCAAATTTATAGCTCTCGATTCTCTCTACAAAAAAAGTTATTATGAAAACTTTGCTATCTCCCTGAAATTTGGAGATATTCCTTGAAAACTCAGCTAAGAGTTTCGCTACTGAATTGAAAAATTCTTCATCATTTAGTCATTGCTTTCGAATTTTTGTGATTGTAAAATTGTAGAATTGTGTGAGGATTATTATCACTATTATTATAGGTTTTAGTGATGCCCTGAGACCCGTAAAATCCCCTAAGGGCAAGCGAAATTGGAACATCGAGATTTTTCAATTGACAATATTTTAATTAGTAATATTGCGTAAATTTAATTTGTTAAGCTAGGTAGACAGTTTTTTGATTAGTTATATGTCAACGAATAAATCTACTCATAATAGGGTAGCTTACCCAGTAGATGGACACTGCCCTATAGATGGACGAGCTACTTTTGGATAGGAAATTACGCAAAAAATACTGAAATGTGAATTGTTGCTTTAAATTTTCACTAACTGTTGTGATTCTTAACCCCTGAGTGACGATTTTTTTTCGATCAATTTTTTTTTTCAATTGCTAAAAAACAAACGTCCATCTACTGGGCGATTTTCTTAGGCATCCATCTACTGGGCAGTTTACCCTACTAGGCCATTTCAATAAACAATAGGAATAATAAAAATTTCCATTGAGCTTCATAGACTGTTATTCAAGCGAAATTAATTCATCTCCATTATAAAGAGCGTCTAATATACTTTTTATCGACACCATAACAATTTTTAATAATTTTTTCAAAATTAAATGCTATCAGTTAATCAATATAAATTAATAAATCGTATTAATTAATTAAATGAAAAAAAGAGTCTTTCAAAATTCTGGATTACCAATACCTATATTGACACAATGCATGCCGAGTATGGTTTATAAACATCCGTCCGACCAGATAGTCACCCCAGTACAAACCCGTAACAGCATGTGACACCACGCGCCGAGCTCACGTTTTCCCCATTGCTCTCCCCTATTGATTATCGTAGGTGGAGGTAAGGTCGCCCACCAGAATCAATACTGTCATGCGCCGAGGAGACTCCACCGTCTCTTCTCGGATACCCCACGACACCACAACGTGAACAGAAGAGGATTATTTCGTCGTAATTCCGTGTTTATCATAACCGAACTCGTAACAATTACCGTTTGACAGTTAAAGTTAATGCGCACTCGTGTTTACCCATTCGTCCACTAGTTTCGTTAAACAGTTACTATCGAAGCGATGTTGTGCTGATTCAAAAGACGTTTGACATTTTCCGCGTGACATAAAACCGAACCGAACCCGTAAGTCACCTCTGACCTAAGCAAGAGCATCAGCAAATGCAACGATGAAGTTTGCTTTCGACGCATAAAGCCATCATCTCCAGTCAATTTATCGACGATCGCTATCAGCTGACCGATAAAGAGCTTGCGCTGCTATCAGGAATCGATAAGGAGAGAGGAATATCCCAAAAAAACAGCACCAGTGGATTGAGGACAAGCACAAGTACCAGTTGTTTCTATGCGGCAGGAGGCCCAGACCGGTTTGAATCTTCGGCCCCCGGGTGACCTTCAACAGCACGGTGGCGCCATGATTGAGCAAGACATGGCTGGTGCACAGGACACCATCTACCTGTGCAACTTCAGGGTCTCCGTTGACGGCGAATGGCTCTGCCTGAAGGAACTCCAGGACGTTGAGTTCTCAATGCAGGACTCAATGCGTTCACCATCGCCACCCCTGGCCCTCAGTGGTATACCAAATAATCGTGTACCTCACGATCGTGATCAGCAAACAACTGAACAATCAGAGCTTTACGATATTCTTCCGCTAAGTCCACCGCCAATTCAGCACTTTTCGAGCTTGTGTCTGTATTTGCTTGCACCTGTTTCATAGATCTTTAGGAAGTTTCTTTTTCGAGGTTTTGATTTTGGGAGAGGGTTGTCTTGCTGGTGGGGATGTTCAAGTGGGATTTAACAGTGTCAATAGTTGACCCTGAGGATGCATTCACATTCTAATTGAGTGACAGGAAGGTAACGCGATGATAGATTGATTACAGCCAGTGATGATCAAGTATTTGTCTCGCGTTGTTTGAACCTTTTCGCGATCCTCGCGACATTTATGACGAATGTGAATAGCCTCGTCAATCCCCCTTGAACACCTCAAAACTTAAGCTTAAATCGCGATGTCCGCTAGTCTCTCTATATCACAATTCTGAAGGCGTGGAGTCCGTAAGCCCCCAGATCCACAAGCCCCAGGAAAATACAAAGTAATTATTCTTGCAGCTCGCGATCCAGTGATAATCGAGCGCAGTAACCTCGTTAACATATCAAAACTAATAGTGAAAGAGTTGATCGAGACATCTCTTAAGTATGGACGCATGCTCGACTCAGATCACATGCCCCTTCAGCACTTTTTCATTGTCCTAGAGCATGTCCTCAGACACGGCCTCCGACCTAAGAAGGTAACGTGTCACCAGGTCTTCAATTCCAGAAGACAACATTCACCACTAACTCCTTGGGTCTTTGCAGGGTCTTCTCGGCCCGAAGAAGGAGCTCTGGGATATCCTACAGCTAGTCGAGAAGTATTGCCCTGAAGCACAAGACATCACATCAAGCATCCGAGATCTGCCGACCGTCAGAACGGCGATGGGCAGAGCTCGGGCTTGGCTACGCATGGCCCTAATGCAGAAGAAACTCGCGGATTACCTGAAGATACTCATTGATCATCGAGACGATCTTCTCTCTGAATATTTCGAACCCGACGCTTTGATGCTCAGTGAAGAGGCTATCGTCATCATGGGACTGCTTGTTGGATTGAATGTCATAGACTGTAATTTCTGTGTCAAGGTTAGTCAGACTAATCATTAATCAATCCGTATGAAGATTGATCACGAGTTGTCATCGTCAGGAAGAAGATCTGGATTGTCAACAAGGGGTCATCGACTTCTCGCTGTACCTACGTAACAGCAACCACATACCTGGTGATTCGCTTGATGAGGAACTCGAGAATGACAACATGACGACGGTACTTGATCAGAAGAATTACATCGAGGAGTTGAATCGTCATCTGAAGTAAATAGACCTGAAAGTTTTTCCTAAGATCAAGCACATTCGTTGGCTTGTGAAGTCTTCAGAGAAATAAGTCTTATTGATTTCAGCGCAACAGTCACGAATCTTCAGACGAAGGTGGAATCACTAACAACTACAAATGCACTTATGAAGGAGGATTTGGCGATAGCGAGGAATAATAATTTAATACTCCAAGAGGAGAAACGACAGCTCAAGAAGGAATTGGGAATCGAAGTTAAGGATACTCACGAGGTATTTTACTTTGTGAGAATGTCGATGTTATGATTATCGAAGGGCACTGATTTACTTTGTTATTCTAGAACGGCAAAGCACCTTTAAAGATAACAGAGACAACGACGGAAATTGAGGAGTTGAGGAGCAGATTAGAAAACGAGAAGAAATTGCGACTCGAGGCTGAGAAGGAATTGGAGTTGCAGGTGAAGATCTCATCAAAATTAACAAACCCCTGATGTTATCAACACAACTATTAATTTATGAATTCAATGTTTATTAATAACAGATCAGCATGAAGTCTGAGATGGAAGTAGCGATGAAGCTTCTCGAGAAAGACATCCACGAGAAGCAGGACACCATCATCTCGCTCAGGAGACAGCTGGAGGATATCAAACTCATTAATTTGGAAATGTACAAGAAATTACAGGTGAATAGACCGGACCCTGGGGTGAAAGAGTCTCTCTGATTAACTTTAATCACACATTTTGGTATCTAGATTACTGATATGCCCAATTCAATTGGACTTTGTACTGACAATGTTGTTATATTTCGCATGCTCGTGTCCTTGTTTTGGTTGTTATGATTTCTCTCGACAACTGCACGCATAAATTTCATTTCGTCTGTATCTTTTGTGTTTCTAAATATGATTTTCAATAAATTTTTGGTAAAAAATATTCCAGCTTTGCAAGCACCCTCATTGTTTCACTCTCATGTATGTGTAAACGGCCAAATTATCGATTGAAATATCTTGACAACTGTTGAGAGGTCATCAAGACATGTCGCAGGACAAATTTAGAGAAGTTCATAGCAAATGGAATGGTTTTTGACTCATCTCTTTGGGAATTATACCTCTCAAGATATCGGGGCTCATCTGTAGAAGCGTTAAAAGTGAAGAATTTCACTTTAAGAAATATCATCTTGGGAGCTATCAATCGTTAAGACATGACTCGAAAACCCTTTCATTCGCTGTAAGGTAGATGTCCCAGTACCTAAACCAACATTGGATCGATGTTGAAACATGAATAGAAAAGAATTATGACGATACTTCTCATAGATAGGACATTCTGAAGGTTTAATGATCTTTATTGGATAGGAAGCAATCATTTGCTACTCGATGAGTCGCATAATTCATATTCTATACTACCACAAGTCAATACCTATTACTCCGTCAGTCACCTGTTACCACTGAAGACTAAATCTGACTGAATGCGATTCACTTGAGTGGCAACTTTAACCGTTGCTGTTCAATATTTTGACCTCCCATATCCGGAAAGTTCACATAACCATTTTCAGGAGACAATATTGAATTGTCAAGAAAACTGGCCGATCCATCACTCAACGGTTCAGCCCCGCATAGAAAAAAATATAAGCCAAAACTTATAAGTAAGATACAGTGATTTTGCCGGAATTATATCTTGAATATATCCGCCCTATATTGCAGGTATAAGCTAGATATATCCGATTGCATGTATGTACACACATACATTCACATATATCTCAGATATTGCAGTTTTTGCCGGAAAGTATACCACATATAAGCGGATGTAAGTGACATATATTTCTGCATACATATTTTTTTCATGTGGGGCTACTGGGACATACCTCAAATCCTTCTACATTTTGTCCACAAAAGTTGTCGATGACATTCCAATGATGATCTATTCCCATCGCAATTGTCACGCGTCTAATTGATTCTCACTTGGTGCTTGGGTTATTAATTACATCTGCATGTTTCAAAATCTCCTCCTACTAGGAATGTGAGGTCGAGTTGACCCAGAAAGGTGAAATGGTGAGCCGACTGCACGCCAAGACAAACCAAATCGGCAAAATTCTAAATAATCTCGAAAAGTATAATCACCTGATGAAAGACAGCCCGACCACCCCGGGAAGTGGAATGAAGCCATTCCTCCGGATGAGTCCCACATCTCCAAAGGATCCAATCACCCCCCGATTGTCTTCAGCATCAAAAGACGACGCAAAATCTCCAAGACGGGCCAGCGATAACGATCCTCTGCTAATCCAGTCAAAATCTAGGGAAAAAATTTCAGAAGCCGTGCTTCAAAAGTCATCGAGCAACTGAATAGCTGCCAATAATTTTCAATCTACTGTACAATTCCTTTGACAAAACAAAAAAAAAATATCTCGAATAATGTATTTCGGCTTACCATTGGTGTAATCTACCTAGTCGCAAGCATTTTGTTGAAGAATTATTACTTTCAGGAGTGCGAGAGTTCCCTAAAGCACAAAACCGAACTGATTGCTAAGCTGGAGGCTAAAACAACATCCATGTCTGAAACTATTCAAAAAATGGATGAAAAGTACGTTTTTTTTATTTTTATTTTTTTACCCCATGTCATTCCGAAAATTCATTCCGGCGAGACTGTTCGGAGATTTCTGTAATATTAATCACGTGCGATATTGTTATTCTGTTGGAAACGAGAGCGAGACTGTACTTAGTGATTCGATTAGTAAATATTCCCCTCGTGCAAGTTGACGAATTCAAGTTTTGTAAACAATGACTCCTGTTCATCAATCGTCAAAAGATGCTATCTCTGTTTCTATTTTATGATACGCATAGAATGATTGAAAATGGCTAATGGGAGAGACGTGTGAAGTGGTTGGAAGGGTCAAAGGGTCTTAAGGGTCTGTCCGTTGGCCTTTTTACCATAACTTCGAAAATCATAATTTCAACGTTTTAGTGACAAAAAAACTATTTATCACCCTGGTATTAAAACCATGCAATTGCAAAGGATTAAGTAATGTGAAAGCTTGTACTATAAATAATAAATCAATAAACATTATTCATCTGCATTCAGTATATTCTTGAGTTGTTCTGTAATACATTCGATCATCACATCCCCCTAATTGTATTCATGAATTGAATTTACTGGATTCTTATTTATATTGATGGCATTCCTACACTATCTCGTGATATTAGCGAATGGTTCAGGTCACGTCTGCGGAGGCGCCACTGTTGCTCCCCATTGATCAGCCCAGTCGGTACATCGGTTTCCACTTCATCATCATTAGATTACAGACAGCCATAAAATTAATAATTGAAATCTCCGAGCGGAATCTCACAGTCGCATAAATCATTCATCCTCTTCAGAATTTAAATTTCTTCATTTAGCAATTGAGACTATGAAAATATTCATTGATCATCAATCATTTCTTGGAATGACTCCCGCGAGGGCATTTGATTTAATTTTAATCACGCCCGAAGCTTGGAAAATTTAATTTATCCGTAATTAATAGCTGAAATTCTTTGGGAAACTTCAGTCGAGTGTCTGGTTTTTCATTTTCTTAATCTTCTCAGATGCAAAGAGATTGATGGTGCAAAAACGGGGGTGGAGGAGCGCGTTCGTCTGTTGGGGGCTGAAGTGGCGGAGAAAGAGGCACGGGCGAATGGGGTTGAAAGGGAATTGAAGGTAGAACGAGAATGGCGCACTTCTCTTCAAGAATCCTCGATATCCAGTACTGAAAAGATTTCTCAGTTACATCAGGAGATCGACCAATTGAAGCAAGTTAGGGAGGTAATAATGGCGGTGAAAGGGAAGGGGAGGGTAGTTTCAATTAATTGTTGAAACTTTTCGAAGATATTTTGTGGAAGAAAAAAGATAGGAGTGTGAGGATCGGGCAAATGAGCGAGATTGTGGTTTTATAAACACCAAAGTGGATGAAATTGAGAGTCAAATGGCGAATTTAGGCTCAAGTCTGAGGGTTGAGAGAAAGTTTGGGTGAGGGTCAAATTGCCTTCTAGTTTGACCCTATTTTTTATCTACAAAATTCGGTGAGGTCAGGTATAAGGGACAAGTTCACCCTTCAATTGACCCTTACCATTGAGTGAGGCCCAAGTTCAGCTCTAGTTGACTCATTTGCCCTTTCACTTGACGTATACAATTTTGTGTGCTTCAGAAAAGGGTGAAATAATGCGAGTCAAATTGACCCTCAGTGTTGACCTATACAACTTAACCCACATTTTGATTTCTCCTCACTCTTCCACATTGAATTGACCCCTAAAATTGAGCGAGCATCAAGTTTAGCTCTAGTTGACCCATTTGCCCTTCAGTATGACATACTATTTTGTATGCTTCAAAAGAAAGGGTGAAAAATGAGGGTCAATTGTAGGGATGAACACTGAGGGTCAATTTGACTTCCATTTTCATTCCACTTCACTGTTTCCTATTGGATTAACCCACGTCATCTCTAGTTGACCCATTTGCCCTTCAGTTTGACCCATACAATTTGACCCACATTTGTATTGCGCCTTCTTCTTTCACATCTCACAAAAATTCCAAATTAAATTCCCAATTTTTCTTCAGAAAAGAAAAATGAATAAAAACATTGAACCCCTCTATTTTAGAAATACTTAGCCCTTCAAGAAGAGCACTACGCTCTCCGTGAAATATGCACTGAGCAAGAGCACACCCTCGAGGAATTGGGTGGCCAATTGAGTGCAGCTAAACTAGCCGCCGTTGAACTACGCGAAGCGGCGGACAATGCTCACCATCAAGCTAATCAGGATGGCACAGCTACATGGGCGAATGACCGGCTTGTTACCCATTGCAAGGGCTGCACCAGAGAGTTCAACCTAACTCGTCGCAAGGTAATCAAACTTTTTAATTGCAACTGTTTCTTTCTCCTCATTTCCGCTTTAAACATTATAACGTTGAGCGACGAAGGATCAGAAATTGCGACTCTCGGTGGAGATAACCATGCGGTAGTGACTTAGCAATGGACTTTGTAATCGCTCAACCGCAATTATTCAGCTATACCTCGGACTCGTTAAGTCTTTGTGAATTTCCGAATTGACCGCAAGCTCTTGAGCTTTCGAAGATGCTGAGTTGGGAGAATTCTCTGCAAGATTCTCCCCATCCACTATTCAAAATCCGTACGGTGAAGCCGGTGGATTTCGGGCGATGCTTCATAGACTTTTGGAGGGAGGGGGATAATTGCAGAGTGTTGACTAATTTAAACTTTGGTATCTGGAGGTGCAATTAGGGGTGGCGAGAGGGAGATATAGGGTTTAATACGCGAATTTTTATTAGAATTTTAAAATTGTTCTTTTTTGGAATGGAAGAGCGGAAGCCGAATTGCCGTAAGGGTTGAACAGGAGAGACAAGGGGAGTGATCATGAGGGCCAAATTCTCTTCCATCTGGCCCTCGACCCCTATGAGCTATAAGGATCCAATACAAGTGTACGTAAGGGTCAAACGATCTCATGAGCCAGATGGCAGAGCATTTAACCTACATGAACTATAAGGGTTAAATGCTCTCCCACATGAACTATAAGGGCATGAACTACAATGCTCTCGTAAATGAACTATAAGGGCTAAATGCTCTCCCACCTGACCCTTAAGATCGGTTGACCCTTATGAACACTGGTCCTGAGAGCCAGATGGGACAGCATTTCACCCTCATGGACTATGAGGGTGGAATAAAAGTATTTGTAAGGGTCAAACGATCTCAAGGGCTACATGGGACTGCATTTAACTCACAGGAACTATAAGGGTCAAATACTCTCCCATCTAGCCCTTAACTCTCATGAACTATACGATTTCAACCCAAGTGTTCGTAAGGGTCAAACAACCGCAACAGCCAGATGGGAGAGTATTCAACTCTCATGAACTGTAAGGTTTAAATGCTCTCCCACCTGACCCTTACGACTGTTTGACCCCTATGAACTAGTCTTAAGAGCCAGATGGGAGAGCATTCAACCCTTATGAACAATGAACATTGAATGCTCTCCCGTCTAGCCCTTCCGGTCATTTGACTCTTGCCACCGTTTAACCCTTATGATCACTTCACTCGTCTCTCCTTGTTGACCCTTACGATAAAAGCTTCCGAGCTTATAAAAATTCATTTGAACAGGAATAAATCGTAATTCTCGGTAGTCATACCGCGATGGTTTTATACTCGCGTACATCCCTGTCTTTTTTTTTCTCCCCCACCACGCATGGATGGATCTGCATATTCACGCAGAGCCGTCAGGTTGATAGAGACGTTGCGCATCCGGGCTATAAAATACGTTTGGGCCGAGCACCCCCAGCCGATCTCGTCCGTTTCAACGCCCCGGAGCATAGCCCAGTGTGAGGCTAAGTTATTGCATAATAACACGCCCGTAACCGTCTCTGTTACTTTTTTTTTCCAACGCCCCGGTCAAACGTATTACCATACTGTTTAATATAGAATAGTATACAGTGGGTAGACTTGCGGGGGCTGCGAGTATTATGGACGATGAAGCCGGACGAGTTGTTTATATATAAGTCAGGAAATTGTGGTGGAACGGGGGATAGCAAAAAGGGGGGAGGAAATCCGGTGAAAAAGTCGGATGAAAATATGCTGAGTTGAATAAATTCATGGTAATAATTGAAATCATGGAAGATTCGGGGACGATGGGATAAAATGGACCTTGCCACTGCAGAAACAGATATCAAACGATGATCTGAAATAAGATTTAAGATTAATGTTTTTGTCTTCAATCTTGTTTCACAATAATTAGACCGCAAAATCATGAAACCTTCATTATGACTCGAATAGTTGATGCCCTTTTATTACGGCTTTTTTTGTTGGATTCGATCTCCCTTTTTTAAATTAATTGTTTATGATCATTCTCATGGAAAAAAGCAATACCGGTGAAAATCATATGTCCCAATTTGTCAGCTGTTAAATTTTCATCTCTCTATATTATAAAAGTCCAAATCGACTTCTGGGGATGAAAATTTGGTACTCGAAATTAAGACTCCAAAATTAAGGATCGCAAGGGTCAAAATAAGGATCATGAGGGTTATAATAAGGGTGACGAGGGTCATAATAAGGCTCATGAGGACCAGAATAAGTGTCACGAGGGTCAAAATAAGAGTCGTAAGGATCAGAATGAGGGTCACGAGGGTCTGATTAAGCGACACAAGGATCAGATGAAGGGTTCAAATAAGGGTATCAAGGGTCAGATTAAGGATCCAAATTGGGATCACAAAGGCCAGATTAAGGGTCTAAATAAGGGTCATGGGGGTCAGAAACTAAGGGTCACAAGAATCAAAATAAGGGGCCAAATCGGCTTCTGGTGATCAAAATTTGGTATTCGCAATCAAAACTCCAAAATTAAGGGTCAGTAATGAAGGTTCAAGAGGTTCAAACTAAGGGCGTAGTACAATAAATTGTTTGGTAAGCAGGCTTCATGAAAATTCGATGCAATAGGATTGCATTCAGTAATGCATTTTACAAATTAATCATCACAAATCCCTAAAAAAAAGTGGCTGTCATGGAAAATTTATGCGAAACCCCTCAGATTGCGATTGTTAATGGGCACCACTGCTATCCCCCCAAATCATTGATATTTGTTAATGCACCGAGTAGACGAGGAATGCCTCAAAGTCAGGCCAACCCGAGGATCATTTGCTGGGCATTAACTCCCAAGCGTCTGATCACCGCCTTGATTTATGCACACCCATGAGTATCTATAAGTATCCGCAGCGCGGGGGCAGATAAGACGGCGGTAGTAATACAGTGGCATATACAGTTGGCTGAACTCCAACTTCTCTCAAGGCTAGGGTATTCCCGGGGTTTGGAATCGTAAGTCACGGCTCCTCGGGACGGTTCAATAATTAACTTTTGCGGCTAGAAATCGGTTATCGAGTGACTGAATAAAGTGGACACTTTGCCCTCCCGAGGGGATCATTGTATTCCGATTCGATACCAATGCTGTATCTAAAATTGAGTTTTACTATTTCACAATGGAATATTCGTTCTTATTTTGGTATTTAAAACAATAAATTTATCACGGTTTTTGTAAATTTCGTGAATAAAAACTCAATTATATCAATCATTTGTAGTTTATTTTTCAACTTGTTTTATAATAAATTCTATCCATTTAATTTAGTGATCGCAATCAGAACAGCCTGAACACGTGAAATCATTTGTAATTCAGTAGTATTATTACGTCGAAGCAACGAATGCCTCATATTACTCCGAAAAATCCCCGAAAACCGAATGAAATTTATTCACACGTAATTGCAACGATTTATGGCACACCTCGCACCCGAAATTTCCTCCCTATTTTTCATTTCCCGTCAGCCAAGTAATTTTTTTGTCACCCCAATGCCAACCCATTTACCCGGATAAAACGGTTTTTCATCCCTGAAAAACTAACATTTCAAATGGTATTCTTTTGTGTGTTGCAGCACCATTGTCGAAATTGTGGAAAGATTTTCTGCAATGCATGCAGTGACAACACCATTGCCATGTCGAATTCAGCTAAGCCAGTGCGAGTGTGCGACGAGTGTCACGTTTTTCTCGTTGGTCGTTACTCGGTTGTGCAATAATGACAGGGGGTACTTGGGGCTGCTGGTGGGTGGGATGAAGTGTTCAAGGGGTAAGGAATTTGGCGAGATGGGAGAGTCGGCTGGAGCTGATGGGAGGAAATTACCTGACTTGGAATGATTTGATAAAGTCGGAGGGAATTCCGTGGACCGCAAGAATCGTAAGGGTCAAGGGATGTGAAAGGTCAACAGGGAGGGATGAAGAGAGTGATCATGAGGCTTAAAGGGTCTCAAGGGTCAGGCGGGAGAGTCTAGCGAAGTTTTCGTAAGGGTCACAAGGGTCAACAGGGAGGGACGCAAAGAGGAATGTCAAATGTTCTCAAGGGTCAAACGAGAGAGCCCAGGGAAGTCTTCGTAAGGGCCAAACGGGAGAGACCTTTGAAATCTTCATAAGGTTCGAACGGTATTAAGTATCAAATAGGGTCTAAAGACCGTTTCACCCGTAATATCATTCGCCCTTTGAGACCCTTATGAACACTCGAGGGTCGACAGGGAGGGACGCAGAGAGTAATCATAAGGGTCAAATGGGAGAGATCAGTGAAATCTTCATAAGGCTCAAACGGGAGAGACCTGCGACATCTTCATAAGGGTCAAATATTCTTGAGTATCAAATACGGTCTAAAAACCCTAGTGTCTCTTGAGGCCCTTGAGGCCCTTATGAACACCCAATGGTCAACAGGGAGAGACGCAGAGTAATCATAAGCGTTAAATGGGAGAGACCATCGAATCCTTTATAAGGATTAAACGGGAGAGGCCCATGAAGACCTCATAAGGGTCTAATGTTCTCAAGGGTCAAACGGGAGAGACCAGCGACATCTTCATAAGGGTCAGTACTCAACAGTCTTGAGTATCAAATATGGTCTAAAGACTCTTGAGGCCCTTATGCCCTTATAGTCACTCCCTTGCCTCTCTTCCATGCATTTGACCCTCACGATAATTCTGCTCTACGCAAAAAAAAACGGACTAGTCTTTTTGCCCCTATTATTTGCCCCTAAATATTTCCCTGAAATTCACAAATATTGATCATTACCACTGACAAACGAAATCCCTATCCTTTCATTCCCTCCACAGTAATTGAATCCAAAATCCTTTTCACAGCTTCATATGTTTCAAAATATTTTTGAATCTCCCATCCCGAATATTCTATCCCCACTAATGGAGTAGAATCATCACAGAAATTTATTACACACATCACTCTGTCAGTGAAAATCGTCAAAACTCTTTTCGAACGAAATTATTTTTAGGGAAACGCGCAGCAATATGCTATATTCAAAAACGTGAGTGCTTTCATTTTCCCGTACACCGAATTTAATTTCCTGAATAATAGTTCGCGTCACACATTTCGGGATAAAAAGAGAATCCTTGCAGATTTATCCCGCGTGTGCTTCGGTTTAGACAGAACAGGGAAATTTTTAATCGTTATTATCCAAGCATGAGCTGTCCCCATTGTTCGGTAATGGAAACATCACTCCAACCGGATAATTTGAGTTAATAATTTGAGTTCTATTCACGTTCGAAAGGTTTTCGTTCTACCAACGACACCGGAATTTTGTGCTGGCGATTTATTTTCCGCTGGAGTAAATGTTGAGAGAAAATTGTAAAAGTGTATGTTGGAAATTATGTGAAGGTTAAAAAAAATTAACGAATTATGAGAAATATATTTTACATGCATAAGAAAATGGAATTATTCATGAATCAACAGTGTTCTCATTACCTACAGAGCACGCAAATGTGCCCGACTTTGTTAATCCGCGGGAATATGGAATGTCTGGAAAAACCTGGGGCACGAGGGACTGCACATTTTAATGCGGGGTATTGTGTTTACAGGATATAATCGATTCTATGAAATTGGAGGCCTGATTTCATTCATTATCACGAATGATTGAGAGTCATTTCATTGATTATAGATTTGATGGCCTTTATTAAACAGAAAACAATAGACTTGGGTTATGCAGGTATTAGGAAAAGATTGAGATGAAGGAATTTGTGAAGTGAGGGCTTCGCCCGAGCAGATGAACACGAAACAAGTGGGAAATTGCTCTTGTATTGCGTATAGTATAGTTATTTTTGCTAATAAATTAGCAATATGCTTCCGAATGGTTATTTTGCACACCACTTCCTTCTTTCATGTATAATTAATTGTTTATTTCATTTTATCAAATTGAATAAGATTTCTTTTCAACTAATTTTGTCAGATTTTCAACTTAGTTGAATGTTATCATCATTATTATTCTTATTATCCGTTTATTCTATAAAACCGATTGTTTTTTTACGGTTCTACCTCTTCCCTCCGCCCTTCGATAAAATGATAAAAGAAAAAACTAATCGATGAACTAAACACACATTAAACAAACCTCACATATCATCCGCAAAGTTCAGATTACCATTTTCAAGAGACAATATTTAATTATCAAGGAAATTACCGATTCATCACTCGGGTGTTCAGCTACCAAAATAGTTAATTTAGGAAAATGTTCTTCCCTCCGTTGGAAAATCAAGGGCTCGAGGGCTGCAGGATTATCCGGAAAGCCCAAAGATTACACTGAATCGAAGGTATTTTCATCAAGTAACACGAACGTCGAGTGGAGATTGAGCCCAGTGAAATTTGGCTCTTGCTGCGAGACTCGTGTTTGGCGTAAGTTGGAAACTAAAGTTTTCAGCTATCAGCGAGAATGAGAATACAAGGAAATAAGGTTTGTTGAGTATAAAGAGAAGTTTTTCCCACCCATTCTCGGCAAACTCGAGTTCTTCGGCCTGTCCATGACTCTAGAAAGCTCGTTAGCAGCGCAAGAAGGGACTTGTAAACGAGAGTAAATTGAAATCGATTTGCCAAGTGTGACATGTTATATCGATTCAACCCCGGCATGGGTGGTACCTTCGATCATGCATACGATTAAACGTCATTATTATTTGATGTGGAAATAAAGAAGTGAAATGCATTACACAAATTAATAATAGATTTTTCTCCAATTGAAGAAAAAGAAATTACGCCATTCGCAAAAAGAGAAAAATTGAGGAAAAGTTATGTGTTTGCCTGAAGAGATCTTTTGTATTGTTGAATCAATTTACTTGTGAACAAAAAAGAAAGTTTCCACCAAAACACGATAATTTTCGTAGTAGTAATTGTTCTCCTGAGATATTTATATGTCCTTCGGGTAAATACATTCGTTCTACAGAGAATTATATAAGGCTCCGGTTTTATCAAGTGAATGTTATTGAGTAGTGGGTATCTTTGTCCAATAATCACTTATAATTTCCATGGAACAAATGATAATTTCAAGAGGAAAGTACAATTTCCTAGCCGAAAACTGTGTTATTGGCTGATCTAAATAATTTCGAGCGGACAATTTTTTTTTGAAAAAAAAAATTTTTTCCTCGTCAATGTATTCTTTCTATGGCATAAACCTATGGAGTTCTCTCAGATCAAGTGATTGCCGTACAATAGATTATACCTTTTCCTGCCAACAGTTCGAATCCTTCTACGGATATTCCTGATGATCGCGATAAAAATTCAATTTTTGTGAAAGATATTAAATTTCCTTCCATCAAGTTGGTCAATTTCCTTGAAGTAAATCTGTTCCATTCCATCAAATATTCTCACGTGGAACATATAGTTTTTCAGCAGAACTTATTTCTTCTCTCAGTGTAATTAATTCAGTAGCGAAGCGGTGAAACGGTTCAAGTCGATTTCGTTTTTTATGAATATCTTGAAGTCTTAGGGAGATAGCAACATTTTTGTCATGACCTTTCTTGTAGCCCTCAATTCGCTCTACAAAAAAGGTCATTACGAAAGCTTCGTTATCTCTTTTAAAGACGAAGATATTTCCCGAAAACTCACCTAAGGACTAAATCGACTTGAACCGTTTCACCGCTTCGCTACTGAATTTCAGACATGACGTAAGAATATCAATAAAAAATGAATTGCGAGTTTAAAGAATTTGCAAATACCGCGTTTTTTACTTAACTAACTTCACAGAAAATCCCATGGTTTCGATATATTTCGATATAAAACAACTCGAAACGTTCAAAGAGGGAATACCCGAGTGTTTGGGGGCTGAATGTGAACTCGTACTACTCAGGAGGAATGAAAAAATATTCCACTCGAAAATATTGAACGAGTGGAGAGTCCCAGTGAAATGAAGAATTCATCGGTTCTCCGGCGATGCTCCATCAATGATGAATGGCAGAGGAAGAGACACCGGTGCAATGAGAATGTCGGATGATGGGAATTGATTACCCCTAATTTCCAGTATTAAAACGAATGTTGGGGGGAGTCCGTTAACTTTTCCATTGGGGAAGCATTGATAATGGATTGAACGCAGGTGGATAATTGTATCCGACTTTTTTCAGCTGCAGAAAAATTTTTTAGATCCTTCCGGCGGTGAGTTTAGCGTGGGCTTCTGGAGAGCATGACGCCACTTGAGGCCGATTCAATCATTTGAATTTCATGTTTGAATTTCAAACATTTTTATCAACACTGACAGAAAAAAATAATTTCATCAAGAGAATTTTGTTTGTACCAACTATCATTTGGTTGTTAATTTTCAAAGAAACATGATTTCATAGTGAACACCAGTTATCTCTTCTTGGGATACATTTGATTGGGAGAAATCGAACTCCTCTAGAATTGAAGTTCCTTTTATTTGTCGCAATAATGAGATTCGATTTTTTTCTAGCCTGCTGATGAAAATCAAGAAATTCCGTCGAGGAAACGCGAAAAATAAACACATTATTTGAGGTTAGATCAGGTAAGTGCATTTGTCAAATGCTCAAAGCCCCTCCCTATTTTTGAATTGGACTCCTCAGAGACGTCCCTGAACGCGCCATCCTCACTCCCGCCTCCGAGTGCCCGGGCGCTCTTAAAATTGTCTCAATTAAAAATCCTCGATATCATGGTGTCACACGGTGCATTTTGCCCCAGCATAATTAGAAAAACTCAGTGATGTGTGTCTGCAATAAATGGAATGATTCGTACTGATCAATTCACCGAATGTAAATTGATAATTACCTCTCGCATAATATTGTCGATTGTGAGTACGGAGGTCAGCAAGAACATTCGCCCCGCAATTGTGCACAATAATAAAGGTAGTGCAGCGTGTTATTCGAAGTCCACCACCACGGAATATATTCCGTATTATTATTGTACATAAAGGTGCAGGTTAAATCGCATCAACTCCCCATCAGCACCCCCATGCATCAATAATTAAGTTTTGTTTTGTACGAATGCCCCACATCGCCATTCGTGCTGAATAGCACTAAGAATGATCGACCCATTCACGTCATCATGCCAGTGGTGGGGATTCCAGTTGAAAAACTAGTGTCTTAAATTAAGATATTGAGACGTGCATTCTAGCGATTTTAGGCTTTTCACCCGGAGATTTTTTGTTTCAAACTTATGATATCTCGTTTGATTTCCAATAATGTTTGTGATTTTTACGCCCATATGCTCTTGCTGATAACTGTGTTATTGTCAGAACTAAATAATTTCGAGGGGACAATTTTTTTGAGAGAAAAATATTCTTTCCTCAGTGTATTCTTTCTACGGTGTAAACCTATGGAGTTCTCTCAGATCAAATAATTGTTGTGCAATAGATTATATTTTTTCCTGCCAACAGGTCGAATTCATCTAGGGATATTTCTGCTCAGCACGACAAAAATTTAATTTTCGTGAAAGATATTAAATTTCCTTCTATTGAGTTGGTTAATTTCCAACTAAATCTACTCCACTCCATCAAATGTTCTCACGTGGAACATGCAGTCTTTCGGCAGACCTAATTTTTGACAATCCCCCCGGAAAATAATTCACCCCCCACTGCTCATTGAGAGCCGATGGCATCGGGCAAGTGGTGTAGCGCGCGAATAGTCAGCCCAGGCGCATGTCTCGCGATTTGGCGGGAGAGCGCGTGGTGTTGCTGGCGGCGGGGCGAGTCCAGTGTCAGTGGACGTTCGCGCGTCGTCACAGTCGCACAATGATCGTTATCGGGGTTCGTGTTCTGTGTCTCGCGACTGCAGTCATTGCACTCAGTGATCCTGCTGCAGGTAAATCAATCATTCAGGGGTGAATTTATTGCGGGGTGATGTGTGACTCGTTTCAGTTGACAGGTGGATATGTTTGATTATTTGAGAATATCATTCTTTGTTGAATACTTCGGTGAGACGTTTGATTGAGCGAATTCGGAGTTGATGGTTGAAATTTAATCCGAACCGAGGATTTTAATCGCGGAATTGAAGAAAAGTGTGGATTGGGATGTGAGATATGCCTTCAACAACAACCATCTCACCAAGATCGGTGATCTTGAGATACAATTCCAGATGAATATTATTGTCTTGGGTATTACCTTACGACAAAAATTCAATGATCTTAAAATCAGTTAAGAGAGTGAAGGAGTGAAAAGTTAATTATATCTGTGTGTTTCACTCGCACTGTAAAAATTAGTGTCTTGGAGACGTTTTAATTTGAGGGTCTCCAAGTACTTTGGCTATTTTTTTCCAGTGAAATGCTTTTCTACTTTTGTAGTCGAATACTGTTAAAAAATTTTGTCTGAATTTTCCGTGCCAAATTCCGGAAATTTTTATTATGTTGCAATTCCACGGGAATTTCAGGAAATCTTGTCATTGAAAATTCAGAATTTCGTGGAAAAATCACACAGAACTGTAAATTTTCGTTCCATTTTTCCCTGAAAATGCATAGAAAATCAAAATATTCTGGTAAATATATTCTTGAATTTTCAGGACAGTGACACTGAATGCGATTTAGGGGGAAAAAAATCATGAAATTTCAGATTTCACTGAAAACTCAATGCAATTTTCACACTGAATATTCATATTACATTGGAAATTCAAACAAATTGAAGAATCCTCGTCTTTATGCCCTTAAAATTTTAGAATTTTACAGAATTTTCAGTGAAACCTGAAATTTCATAATTTTTTTCCCCCTAAATCGCATTCAGTGTCACTGTTCTGAAAATTGGTAGTCAACAGTTCATGAAATTTCTTTTTTTTTCTAACAGTGAACATCAGAGCTTTCATTTGAGCCTCATCTGACGCTAAGTTTCCGAAAATTTTACGATGATTTTATTATTCAAATTTTCCAGGTTTGATTTTGAACCTCAATAGTGATTTCCACCCTGAAAATTATTTGCTCGGAATCGTAACAAATTCATTCATATTCAGAATTTTACTAGATATCAATTTCATGCCTGAAAACATAAGGTTTCCGAAAGTTTAAACAATTTCACTTATTTATTTATAAACCGCGAATAACTGCAATGACGCGGAATGTTTATGATTTTTTCCAACCTTTTTTCCCACAACTTGACTGACAAATTTGATGATTGAAAAGAGTTGAATCTGTAGAGTGGTCCGTACCGAACTGTATGAAATACTTGGATATCCTTAATAGTGAATCATTGATATTGCTCACTTAAATTGCAAAAGTTAAAATACGCAATCAGATCCGATTACTTCCGCCTTAATAATTCTTTCCGGGCTGATATTGAATTAAACCGAGCATTTTTACATCAAAACATTGTTTAGAACATTTTTTTCAGATAATCTTAATATCTGGAATCAAGACAATTTCTTTTGGTCTCAATAACCCCTACAAAACATCTTAAAATTGTCCAATTCACTATGATGTCAGGTCAGGCTACTTCCCCTACCGCGATTACTCACCTGTCGCACCGAGGGCTCCACAAAAGCAAGACATAGCGAAGGGAAAGGAACTTTTATTTGCAGTGGCACATATCCCCCACCGGTTATATCTACATCAGGCCGAGGCATTCCTGGGCACGATGAGAGTGTCCCGCTGGCGGCTGGGGCTCTTTGCACCAAGTATTTACATATAAATGGAGCAACACACCGTGAGCATGTACGAAACTTCATGGGGGTCGCGTATTGTCTGACAGAGTTGCGCGTGTGCAATTCCTTATTGCTAACGTCGGACCGGCCTAGGGGGTAATTAATTATTTGTCTCGACTGAGTAAGTCCAACGAACTCCTGGATTATAGCGTCGCGTGATAATCAGGTACGAGTGCTGGTGCATCCACATTCGGGGTATTGGATGGACTCTAAACGAAGAGTTGAATGGCTGGATTCATCTTGGAGACAATTTCGTAAATTTTAATGAGATTGGAGACTTTGGAGACGGGGAGCTTGCCCGCTGATTGCGTATAATAGCTTTTTCGATTTAAAACAGCCAAATAAATAATTGAAGGGATTTTTTTCAAATGATGTCATAGCAGCTGCGAAGATATAATAATACAATGTTCAAAAAATTTAACTGAATTTTCAGGAAAAAGACCTTGAATTAAAGGGGAATTTAAGGTAAAAAAGTCAATGAGATTTCAAGTTTCTCTGAAAATTCAAGTAAGCTCTCAATTTTTTAGCTGTAGAACGACGGAAATTCCACAATTTACATGAATTTTCATGTGAAAATGAATATTTACAGCCGGATTCCCTTGAATTTCCAGGGAAATCTGGAATTCAAAGAGAGATATCGCTGAATTTTCCCCATTTTTAATTAATTTTCTCGGAATAATTAAACTGAAACTTATAGTTTCCACGGATTTTTCCGTGAAATTATGAATTTTCAATGACAAAATTCCTTGAAATGTCTGTGGAACTGTTACTTGTCAGAAATTTCCAAGATCCGTACTGGGAATTTCAGTGGAAAATTCTTAACAGTGTATTCCATTTTAGAGTCATCGTAAGATGGTTGTTTGTGCAGGGCCAACATATCAGGTAGGGGAGGGTGGGGAAAAACGGCCCCCCTTCAATTGTCAATAACTTGTGAATGACATTGTGAAAATTCCCAGTTTCAACTTCATTTTGAAGATAATTTTTCATTCTTCAAAACGAGCTCTAACTCATCCCAATCGGATTATTGAATCGGAAAATATTGACCATCGAAGGGGGGCCGTTTTGCCCCATCCTCCCCTATCAGGTCCGTGAGTTTGAATTTTCAAATTCCGAAATTCATTAGGGGTTTGTACAGCAGTGTTGGCATATTATTACCCTAAAATCAATAGAGAAAAAGTACAATGGGGCTCGATTATACGCGAATAATTGCGGGTAGAAGAGATGTATATGGGTCTGTAACGCCACGGGGGGAATTTGAATTTGTTCATTGTATCCGGAAAATCGTGTATGTATCACGATTTAGGAGCCCGTAGAAACTCAACGAGTGAGTTCTCGCGAGTAGGTAGACTATAAATTCACTCGGCTGCGAGTACGTTGAAGACCTGTCCCGACATTCGAGTGCATTCGCGAAATCTCGGGGATAATAGTCCCTGTTCACGCCAGCCGGAGTTTCGATCTCGGTTGCAAAGCTCCTTTGATTTGCCGACTAATTTACACACGAAATGAAAAATACTAAGCGCCGGAAATTTTGACACGTTGTACACGATTTTTTAGTGTTAAATACAAAATTATTTTTCCGGACTTTTTTTATTCATTTGTGTAAATCACACTGCAACAATCAGTGTCTGTAGGGTGTCTTAATTTAAGACATTCGACACAAGAATGCATGGTTTAATATCTTAATTTAAGACACTAAAAATAAATTGAATGAATTAAATTTTTCGAGAAAAATTTGAAAAAAGTCATGGATAGTCAGCGTTATTATGATTACATTTTGCACCGAATTATTATTTTTTCAAACATTCGTTGTTTATAAATAAATAATTGAAATTGTTTGAACTTTCGGTAACCTAATTTTTTTAGACATGACATCGATTTCTGATAAAATTCTGATTATGAATAAATTCGGGGAATTAAATTAAATTGGTGAAAAATTATGAATAAAAATGGTGGACAATTGATTGTTTATAAATTATTTACTTATATGAAAATGCTCGTACTTTCTAAAAATTAAAAATTAAAATTATTTCATCAATCTTCCGCCACACTAGTAGAAATTCCTTGAAATTTCAGTCACAATGTCACCTGAATTTTCGTTGTTGTGAGGTTGAATTTAATTTCAAATGAAAGCGTTCACTAAATTTCTCATTCATCTTAAAAAATCAAGAAAATTGGGTTTCTCATGTTAAACAATCATTGATTTTTCACTGAAAGCTTGGATTTCCATCACATACAATTGAATTTTCAACAGATTCAGAATTCAGAAAAGTTATTGCCTAAATTTTCAACATTTTCAAGGTTTTTCAGTGCCTTATGAACCTGAAAATCGAGTATTACTGGAATATTCAAGAAATTACCTTATTCATTAATGGAGAAATACACAAAAACTTCCGGTAACTTTGTTGTTGTTAAAAATTTCAATCTTTTGTACTTGAAATTTCAAGAGTGATTTTCCAACAGTGCAAAAGATTTTCTAATTTTTTTCAAAGTTTTAAAATGTTTTTTAACGGTTCAATATCGAGATTGAAATTCAGATCTGCAAAATTGAAATAATAAAGTCAGTGTAAAATGTCCGGAAACTTAGGGTGAAATGAAAAGCATTTCACCGAAGAAAAAGTAGCCAAAATACTTGAATATCTTTAAAATACACGGAGTCACGATCAGCCCCATCACAATTCAATATTTCTTCAAACGAAAATTTTTCTCCTCCAAATTTCTGAATTCCCCGAATGATGGAACGTTACATTCACTGGCTGTCGCGACATTCGACGATACAATTTTCCGAATAAATGACATGACGGCGTGCGTGCATGGAATCGATTTTAGGTGCCATCCAGATAATTTGATGGTTATCCCATTATTCAATGGAGTAGTCTGAGCGTCCGGAAAAGCCGCGAAAAGTCCGTGAGAATCGATCACCAGTATTTACTGACCCAAGTGCTTCGCCAATATTTTCCAACGCCTAATTATCGATATCACCCTCGCGACGTTCGATATTTAGAGCGCCAATTATTATTTCATCGCAGTCATAACGAAAAAAACACCGACTCGTGTAATCTATTTGCTGGTAGAGGGGGGAGAGGGTGGATTAATGAAGCCGCTGGTGATCCCACTGTATTAACCGGATATGATAATATCCAGGAAAACGGCGAAATAACGGGAAAAAAATTGGTAATTGA